CCCAACAAGAATAGCAAGAATGTTCAAGAATAAATCCGAAAAATGTTGGAAATGTCATCAGACACCTGGCTCATATTACTATATGTGGTGGACTTGTGCGGATGCTAAAAAATACTGGACTAAAATCCACATGTGGTTGGAAAAAAATGACAAAAAAACATATAGACTTGAAACCAGAGATATTTTTATTGGGAATTTTACCTGAAATATATAGTAAAGACTTGAAATACCTGATTGTAAATTTATTAATAGCGGCTAGGATTGTATTTGCTAAAAACTGGGAAAATGAGAAAATACCATCACAGGAGGAAATCATTAAGAAAATATTGGAATGTGCTGAAATGAGTAGATTGACATTTGAAATTAGAGAACAAGAGGATAAACAATTTTATAAAATTTGGGATCATTTCTATCAATGGTTACACAATAAAGTACAGTAATGAAATATGACTTTTAGAAAATAATAAATATATAAAGATGTACTATTTCTTATTATATTTACAAAATGATTTTAGGATAGATTTGGGATGATAATATGAATTGTTATAAAATAAACTAAGTAAATTATGGTTATCTTGTAAAACATGAATGATTAAAAGTATAGTCAAACGATTGATTAATAATGATACTAAGGTATTTAATTTTTGATTGACAATATGAGATTATATGTAATGTAATTGTAATTGAAGACTATGAAAATGGAAGCACAAAACAATGTGTAAACCAACCGGCACACTGTATGTACACCTATGGAAGATAGCTTGATGTTTTTATGTTTTGTTTGTTTATGTTTGTTTTTAAAAACCAATAAATTTTTTTTAAAAAAAAACAAGTGCCATTTATAACTTGGCACTACGCACAAAATATCTGCAGGTTTTCTCCTGCAAGAATCTAGGCCATTAAATTTGCAGGGGATGAAAAGGAGCAGAGCTTGTTTAGCTAAAATCGATCACACTTTTTTAAAAAATCACTTCTCCCATCACAAGGTCTATGTAGGCTGCGTGAAGGCCTGGAGGTGCTCCTTTTTCTACGTTACTGCAACGGGCACTGAGAATGTATGGGTTCTTTTTAACCTGGGGAATGGATGGTTGGCTACCCATGTCAAAAAGCTTTCTTCAATTATAGAGGTCGTTCACCAGCACGTGGATTAATTATTCATCAACCCTAGACAGAGCATATTGGAAAAAATGTTTTCTTCAATACCTTTACAGAGGCCGGTCTCAGCTCTTTCTGGGGAAAACATTCAGCATTGTAATGTTTAGGAAACTAATCATGTCACCTTTACCATTATGCTTCTGATCGGTAATGGCTTTGCAGAATTCATGACACAGCTTCATGTGTGTGTGTGTGTGTGTGTGTGTGTGTGTGTGTGAGTGTGTGTGTGTGCATGGTATTCAGCTTTGTTCGGGTATTTTCCCACGCCTTTATAGTTGTACTTTTATAGTTGTAGTGACGTTTTGGCAGAATCTTTAAAAGCACAACTATAAAAGTACAACTATAAAGACATGGGAAAATACCTGAACAAAGCTGAATACCATAAATATAAATACCTGTGAAAACATAAGGATCTATCTATCTATCTATCTATCTATCTATCTATCTATCTATCTATC